GAAAGCATGACTACATATTGCAGTTTGTCATTGTAGTGGATATCCTTAGACAAACTTTGGTCATTCAATACATCAAAACAAATAAATGAACGAAATTATTTTTGTAGGTAGAATATGGCTAATAAGCATTAAAATTTGCATAAAAAGTTTGTGTTTCTCCAAAAATTTGGATAGTTTAGGTTATCAAAAACACATTTATGTTATTCATAAACCTAAATACACCTTGTATGAGCTCATGCAGTGATGATCGACTATTCTAATATAATTTCTGTGTGATTGATACATGAAAATTTCACGAAATGGGAGGGAAGTGTCTGCCAAGCCAATCCAGTTGTCCATTTGCATTTGAATGAGGCTGATTTCAAATGAAAACTGGTCACTGGTAGCATAGTGGTTGTCATATATAGCTTCTGTGGCAAAAATGCACTATGTACTTGCAATTTGCACATACAAAAAACAGTCAACAGTGACATTCAATGTTCGGAACTGTCGCCTGGCACCAAAAAAAAAACATTAAAAAAAAAATAGAAACAGTTGGGTTTATAAATGTTTGCAATCATATATAACCAGCATATATAGCATATAACCAGTGTAACTTCACCAATCTAATGATTATCTCTCAAACAATATTTAATTATAATAATATGACGTGATCTATTAGCAAAGTGTGCAATGAATAACAAGTCAAACAAGCAAACAAAATAATTAATATAAGAATAGTAGCATGCTTCTAACTTACATTTGCCAGAACTATCATTTTCAGTTCCATGTGGATCTGCATCTGACTCTGCATGTTGAGATTCTTTATTGAAAACCCAGTCTTTCATTCTATTTAGATGTTCAGGGATACCCTGATAACGTAAAAGAGATCCCTCTCTGGTGAAAAAAACAACAAAGTTTTATGTCAGATGAGCATCATCTTTCATCCATTGATCAGATTTAAAACAATCAGAAGAAATATGTGCACATTGACCCAAATGGTAAACTGATGCCTTCGAGCACATTACACGTATTTATTTTAAGGTATATGAATATTAGTACTGAGGCTACTTAAACAAATTCAAAAATGTGTTAGTCAGTCATTTGTCATATCAAAAATCATTATCAAATCATAAAATGTATGCACCCAGAATGAGTATTATTTCTCTTACATGTATGATCATAATGTTGAGTGACAATAATAAGGATGATTTAATACATACTCTGTGTTCCTGTGCCGCTGAGTTTCACAAACATCTTCATTACTTGCCAGCAAGCTATCATTATCAGTACCTGTAGTTGCTGAAACACTGGTGGGTTTTTTACTAATATACTCATCCAAGACATCCACTACAAACAAAATTCAAGAAAATTAATTTAACTGTTTACTGTAAATATTGAAATGCACAAATATTGAGACAAAATCACAGATGAACAGCATATGAAAATTTGTGCTTACAACTGGTTTTTAATCCGTGTCGAAAACGTGCACAGAATGGTCGTTTTGTGCACGTTTTCGACACGGCTTATCAGCTACCTCAAGTGCCAAATCCATGAAATAAACAACCAATGTCAATAGAGTAGCCTAGGTATGTTTCTAAACGCTTGCTTTTTAGCTGATTTAGTCATCATTTTTGAACTCAGAAGCCCGCAAAACCTGATATTACATGCGAGAACGAAACAAATCCGTCGAGATATCACGTTTTCCCGTAAAAAGGATGCTGGCTGTTCCCTCTCTGGACTCCCTCCCCGCGTATACTAGTACT